AATAAGTAATCACACCTATTATCTCAGTGTATTATCCCTTCTTTGATAGGATGTCATTGTTAACTAATTATAGAGTGTCTCTTATGAAGAACATGATAGTTAAGCTTACTTATCAGCTTCCAAATAGAAATATACTAAGGTTAAAATCTGTGTTTCTCTATGTTCTCTACTACCCAGTAGTGTTTGATAGCTCTCAGGATGTTTGTTAGGTATGGCTTAGAAGCCAAAAATTGGGCCTCCTGCCTGCTTAGGGAACATTTTGTTTACAAAGCCTCTGTTTACAAAGCCTGGCCAAGTTGGAAGTCAGTGTAGTAATGGGTACTATTATTAGAGGTTGGCATTGTGAAGATGTAGATGAAAATCTAGGACAACAGAACTCTTCCCACTGTTATTCTCTCCTAAATAACCAGTAAGAACATCTTTAACACAGTAGAAGGGGTTGGTTCTCACTCAGGAATAGTATTTGGGAGATGTTTCTCTTCTGTCACCATTGTCTGTATCTGTGTCCCCAGTGAACTGTCTTTGGTAGAATGACTGGAAGAAAGTTAAGGAGGGAAGTTATCCACAGAAATTCAGAAGACCCCTATGAACTAGAAGGTTGAGTTAGAGGAAAGTCATTAGTGTAGCTGAAGACAAGACCCGTGGTTGTTTACCTGGTTTTCTCTGGACATCTAGCCCTATTTCTTCTCAAAGTCAGGGTAACCCAAACATTTTAAAAGCTGAGTGTTACTAGGATCCACAGGAAGAACATAGGCCTCGGAATTAATGAGCTGTCCAGGTTATTTTTAGCTGAGAAGAGATTGAATCAACCAAGAATAATAAATCTAAAGCATGTCTGCATCTGTGTTTGATTTACTCTCAAGGTCTCCGAAGGTTAGGAAAAAAGAGATGGAGATGCAGGAACCGTGTTAACACCATTTAGCCAACAACTTAGCATCTGTTTTTGCTTATTGATTGTTATGAAGACACAGCAAAGTGTTCTTCACACAAGAATACAGAAATGTTAAGGTCAAAGGCAAGAGCAAGGTGTGTGAGTCTGATTTTTCTTACTCTTTGGGTTTTTTTTTTCCATCCTGCACTAGGACTATAAAAGTCTCCTACAAAGTGATATTATGATTACAGCCAAGGGTGATTGAAAGTAGCACAATAAAAGTATTATTTGTTCATTCAGTTCCTTTTCAGAGCTGATGTTCGAACTGGGAACTTGGCATATAGTAAACAGTGCTCTACAAGACCACTGAATTAATATTAGTGTATTTTCACTCACCAATTACACAAACATTTAAAAATGTAGAATATGTATTTTTGCTTTATTGTCCTTATTGACTATAGATCATTGTACACTTTAGACTCCCCATTTGTGAGGCAAAGAGACCATAATTCTATCTCTTTTCACAGAGAAATCATCCCAGTGTCTGCAGAGTGCAGCAGAGGGCATGGTACAGTGGTTAGGAATGGAGAACATGACTTATGAAATGATTTTATTTCCTCTTGGGTAGGATCACTGACTATTCCCTCTCTTCTATAAATATACAATAAAACATAGTGGGATAGCTAAAAATATGCATATGAAGATACAGGCAATAATGGCAAGTGTGTAAGCATGTAAGCATGCACGTGCATGTGCAGTTTGAGTGTGCATACATACACACAGAGGCTTAAATACACTCACACACAAACAGATGCATACACAAACAGAGAGATGATAAATGATGATTAGATAGATAGATAGATAGATAGATAGATAGATAGATAGATAGATAGATAGATAGATGATAGATACATGCATGGTGGATAGATTATAGAAAGGAGAGAGAGAGAGAGAGAGAGAGAGAGAGAGAGAGAGAGAGAGAGAGAGAGAGAGATCAGTAGTTCCTGGAAGGACACAAAATAAACACCTTGGTAGTGATTATAGTCACCTATGTTGAAGAAATATATCAAAATAATACCACAGAACCCTTGACAACTTGCCTGAAAGTGATGTGTAAAAGCCCATATTTGGAAAGAACTTCTGGTGTATATTTTCAGAGTTGCATATACATTTAATGCAGGCTTTCTTGCTTATAATTATTTATTTTATGTGTAAATAACTTTTCCCCTGCATGCATGTGTGTCTTATGTCCATGGGTGTCTCAAGAGGGTAGTGGATCTCCTGGAACTGGAGTTACTTTCTCAAAGGTCATAATCTCTATGGAGTTGTGGATGTATAGACAAACACGAGTTTATTTTTCATGCAGGGATACTGTAATATTAACTGTAGATGTATTTGCCCAGGAAATTTGATGGCCTAATTGAAGCAACTAAAATTAACCCATAAATGAAAAAAAAAACTTCAGAAGGTAATGTTTTATCAATAGCTCAGTAAAGTTCATGAAGATAAGCCAGAGGAAATGACTCTCATCTGGGAGTTTTATAATAGTACAGTAAAATTTATTTGGGAGTGAATTATATTCACACAGTTTGGAAGGGATTTGAGGAGAAACACGACAGAGGTACACTGGTAGACTCTTCCTAGTTCTTTTATGGGGAAATGACTCTTAGGTGATGGATGAGGTCCCAGATTAAACAGTGTCAAGAGTCTCTACAGATTGATAATGCACAGACAAAAAAGCTGTTGAACTGTGTGATTCTATATAAAAACGTAGGCAAAATCTTAAGGACAATCTAGGAGAAGTAATAAGAATTTTTCTTTATAAGTAATTAAATTTGCACATGATAGATAATCCATACTGGAATAAAATAAATATGATGAGACAATGATTTCCCTGGAATGCAGGTAATCAATTCTTCACTTTGTAGTGATTGAGCCACAAGTATTAATTGTCTTGTATTCTTAACAACATTCAAAGTTTATATTGTTATGAGAACAGTTCAATTCTAATTCTAATTCTTCTAGGAGAAGAAGTAGTTTGCTTTTTGGTTTGTATATATCCTTTAAATTATGCCTGTATCTAGTAGACTTTCACCTATGGGGAGAAACTACTGCCTCCTAGGCTATTTGCTCATTCTGACATTTTCCCGCTATTCTGTCATTGTGGATTGCAATCGGAGCTTTCTGTCCCACCCACTAGTTCCCAAATAGCCACTCAGATACTTGTTATTAATTATAAATGTTAAGCCAATGGCTCTGGCTTATTACTAGTTACCTCTTACATTTAAATTAGCTATTAATCTGTGTATTGGCACATGGTCATGACATTACCTTATTTTCAACATGTCTTACCTCCTTTGCAGTTGGCTGACACCTCCCAGACTCTGTCCTTCTCCTGTATCTCTGCTTAGATTCCCTGCCTGGCTCTATCCTGCCTTGTCATCGGCCAAAGCAGCTTTATTTATCAACCAGTGAGAGTAACACATATTCAGAGTGGTCAGAAAGACATCCCTCAGCAGTGGAAGGGTAGGGAGAGAGCAGTTTTGAGAAAAGGAAGCAGTGCCAAGAGCCTGAAGGCATCATGAGATAAGGCAAGGATTTGCCACACAGAGTTGAAGATGAGTTTACACAGTGTCCCACATGATCTCTATTTTCCCACAGAAACAAATGAATTAAAGTTAATGACATCTGACAAAAAAGAAATAGAGCCTAGAAATTGCCAGTGAAATAAAGACAACACAGACAAAGATGTTTCTAAAACAATTATTTAGATTTTTTTCCTGTGGGGAGGTAATTAAAAATAGGGAAATTATTTAATTATCTATCATAAATATGTTATTGCACTTTAATGCTGTTAGTTAAAAGCCAATGTGTGAATTCACTTTGGCCTGGGGTAAATGCAGCCATTTCCTTCAAATGTTTTCTAACATACTTCCACAGATACAATTTTGTCCTGCCCAGTGTTTGGGTTTAGATTTTTCTTGGCATAATTACCATGAACTTATTTCTCATGAACAACTTCCTGCTTATATTTGCTCCCAGCCTAACTTGAATCCATGAAAAAAAGAAACCAGTTATATAATATCTATATTCTACCATAAGAAAGATAAACATTTATCAAGCATTCTTAGAGATAGTTTTAATAAATTAGAGGTAATGGAAATAAGAATGGACTCAGAATAAATTTATTGATATGGGAGGGCAGCTTGTAACTATCTGCAACTCCAGCTCCCAGGACACCTGACACCTCTGGACTCTGTTAGCAATGGTGCTCCCATGAACACTCTCCACCCAACCTACCCATCCCCGAACACACATGTGCTCACACATACACACACAAACACAAAGGCACAGACACACACACACACATACACACACAAAGACCCAGACAGAGGCATACACATATGCACAATTACACATTAATTTAAAAACCTTTGCTTGCTATCATGGTGCACACCTTTAATCCCAACGCCAGGAAGAAGAGACAGGAGTAGATCATTGTGAATTATAGAACAGTCTGGTCTGCATAGTGAGTTCCAGGTTAGCGGGGTGTACACAGTAAAATCCTGTATAAGAAAGAACTTCATGCTGTGGCATCCAGTGTTAAATATATGTCTGATGGAGTGATTTATATTTAAAAATATTTGAATGAATACTTTTTACATCAAAGATTAAAGTTAAGCTTATTATATCTATTCTTTAATGTCCGAGAATTTCAAAGGCCTTAACATTTCAAAACTAAGAGTATGAGACCTAGTAATCCAAAAATAAATGTAGAAAAGTAATGAAATATTATATGATTGCCTCCCAAATACCAGGTATTTCCTGTTCTATTTATGAGGTTCAACTGAGCACGTGGAAAGCAGATTAACCTCTGACCCTGTTAATAAGAATAATGACAGAACAGAAACTAATTCCAGCCCTGGAGAGGCTGCAGCAGGAAGCTTGAAACACTGAGATCAGCTTGGGCTATGTGGGAAGACTTTGTTTAAAAGAAAAGAAAACCTGCCATAAATTGATTCATTTCTGTAATTTTAACTTAGTTCTTCAGCATGTGACAGTAATAATAATCTTTTGATATTTCATAATACTAATAAACTCTGTTTTTTGTTTGTTTGCTTGCCTCTAGGGATCCAAATTAAGAGAGGAGGAGTGATTGGAGAATGGAACTGACGTGTGTGGGGAGACCGGGAGACCGGGAGAAAGGCGGGGAGGGAAAACTGTGACCGGGATGTAAAATAAAGTTTAAAAAAGGACCCGCTCCTTTTTTAAGTCAAGTCTTTGTAACGGCAACCTCCACATCTGCATGGTCTTTCTAATTGTTAACTATGCACTTACACTGATAGTAAGAGTTTAGCTTTTCTGGTCCTCCTAGCTATGATGACTTTGCCTTTCACTTAACTCCCCTTTAGCATTCAGTTTTTCTACTCAGTTTTGATGCACTTGCCCCGCCCAAAGTGCAAATATTTCCGGTTTGATATTTTTGAACTAACATTTCTCTTACCAAGAGACAATGTGGAAACATCCCAGTATTTGATTAATCAAATTGCCAGGTTTCTTTGTGCCGTATTTGTTGATGTGATGCCATGTTGTACCTTCATGGCACCGGAAGGCCCAAGGGCCGTGAGTGCATGACGATTGCCCTACTCATCTCTCTAGAATGGGTATCCTGCTTCTGTGGGAGAGAAACAGTGGGATTTCCTTCCGCTTTGAGCTCCCGGCTTAAGCCTATGTGGACCAGCAAGTTACCGTTCCTTTACTCACACCCACAAACGCAAGCGCTTTGTTGCTCTAAGCCTGGATTTCTGTACTGTGTTCTTGAACGTGGCCCTTCCTCCCCTCCCCCCCAGCCTTGGCTACATTCCGTACGTCACATCTAGTTGGGAATTTCTGTTTAATTCATTTCAAAGAAAGTAAGTTGCTAACATCACAACATATGATTCTACATTTATTTTTTCCCCGCTATAGTAACTATTTTTAAAATTTCAAAACTCCACAATACCCAATCTGTGTAGGTAACATGGTAACTCTAATTATGAGGTTTATAGAAAAATTTGACCTTTCCATTTAAATAATAACCTCACGCAATTTTTCTTATATCTTTTAAAATGAGATTTATTTTGTTTTAAGTGCACGAATGTTTTTCCTAGATGCATGTGAGTACACTAAGTGTTTTCTTGGTGCCCACGGAGTCCAGAAGGTTGTGTCAGAAAGCCTGGACACAGAGCTAGCGATGGTTGAGAACCTTCCTATCTGTGCTAGGAAGTGAGCCCAGGTTCTCTGTATGAGCTCAAACTGCTCTTATTCAGAGTCATGGCTCCATCCCTTCTTTCAGGTCTTTGAGACCTTAATTTTGTTGAAGCCTGCACAAAAATTTTAAAATGACAGAAATAAAGATGACTTCAAAGACAGTTGTTTTCATGTAAACTTACACCTTTGCTTTAATACCTGATAAGACTTGTCCCCTCCCCCACGTCATTTACAACTCACCTAATGGTTTCCCATGGCCCAAGGCTTCTTAAGGTAAAACTGCTCTTCTAAGCAGACTTTAGGTCAGTGGTTTTCACCCTTCCCATTGCTGTGACCCTTTAATACAGTTCTTCATGTTGTGGTGAACCCCAATCATAAAATTATTCCATTGCTACTTCATAACTGCAATTTGCCGCTGTTATAAATCACAGTGTAAATATCTGATATGCAGGATATCTGATATTTGACCCTTGTGAATGGTAAGTCTGATCTCACCCCCCAAAAGAGCGCATCCAGCAGGCTGAGAACCACTGATTTAGGTGGTACTGTGAGCAGTCTGTGGAAATGAAGTTACTTAGAACACACTGAAAATAAATAGACCAAAACTACAAAAGTTATCTGCTTAACCGAACAGAGAACACACTATACTGCCACGCCTTGCGTGGCATGAATGAAAGTTTCCCTCTGAAATACTTTGACTTTATTTCTTCCTCTTAGTTTAGAGCAGGAACATGCTTAATTCTTATGAAAGTTTGAGTAGTTTAGCTCTCTCTCTCTCTCTCTCTCTCTCTCTCTCTCTCTCTCTCTCTCTCTCTCTCTTTCTCTGGAAAAATTGAGAAGAAGATTTGAAATCAATCTGGCAGTATGATACGGAACAGAAACATAAACGGAGATCTTCTGATTTTGCTCTTTGTGAACCTTTTACTTAAGGTTACATGAAATACTTTTTTGAGAAAGAGATATGATTCATCCACTGATGAAACAAACACCGAGATTTTTCCTTCCTAATTGAAATAAAACATAAAAGTTCACCAAAAACGAGCCTCAAGCATATAGTGGCTTTGAGGCTTTAGAGTGTTCTGACTTGATTTATTGACAACTAGAGCTGAGACGTGAGGAACTCAGTTAAAACAAAGTCTTTGAAGTTAACATTTTTTAAGTGGCTCAACCATTTTTATAACAAGGACAAATGATTCTGTTTGTTCCCTTGAGTGAAGCAAGCAGGGAGGTGGTGGGAGGAAGGATGCGCAGGGGCTGCACTCCAGGGCTCTCTTTGAGAACTTGGGATCTTCGTGGATTTATAATATGCATTATCCTCGCAGGAGCTGCCAGGAGAGAGCAGACACGTGCTGGAAGGCTGGGCAGATGCAGATCTTTCCATTCCAAAAGAAAGATATATAACACACGCATAAAAAGCACAAATGGATTAGACAGTAAAATCCCAGACTGTGGCTTTCATAAAGGATTTTGAGAGTTTGATGCTGGAAATAAATCAGAAGGTATGATTTTTGTACTGTAATGGTGTGCCTTGGACATTCTAATTATCCCTGAAGCAATTCATCCATGTTAAGTGGACTTACTCAGCCTTCCTTCTTGAGCCAGAAACCAGGACATTCCAAGCACCTCATGCACAACTGCAGAAATTTTAGCAGAACACACGTGCGATTTCTTGTGTTCATCCAGTGTGATGATATATTATGAACCCACTTGGAACTGAAGCAGTTTACAAATACGTGCTTTGGTGAATGAAACCCGTCATCCACTCTGTAAACATTTGTGTTGACTTTATGTACTTGAACCAGGAGTTCTCTGTACACTTTTCTCTAATAGGACTACTATGAGTAGATTGTTTTCCGGTAAAGTAGAATGAGTAGGAAATAACAGGGGAGCATAGTGATGATAGAGGCAGACACAGGATGTCTAAAATAATGCTAAAATATATTGAAAAAGAAGAAGAAGAGGAAGATAAGGACCTGAAGGAAGAGGAGGAGGTTAGGCTTCTTTTCCAAGACCAAGAAATACATGTTCATTGTATTTAGCAATGGTATATATTTTTAAATGCTGAAAGAATGGATCTGAGTTAATTTTGTATTCAGTGACATTACTGAAGGTATTACATCAGCTGTAGATGTTTTTCTGGTAGAATTTTTGGGGTCACTTATGTACACTATATTATATCACCTGAAAATAGTTAAAGTTTGACTTCTTATTTTTTAACGTGTATCCCCTTGATCTTCATTTGCTGCCTGATTGCTTTAGCTAAAGCCTTGAGAACTATATTGAGTAGATATGGAGAGAGTGAACAGCCTTGCTTTGTCCTTGGTTTTAGGGGAATCACTCTGATTTTTTTTCTCTGTTTAGTTTGATGTTGGCTGTAAGCTTACTGTCCACTGCCTTTATTAAGTTTATGTATGTTATTGTGTCCCTGTTCTCTCCAGAACCTTTATCATGAAGGAGTGTTGGATTTTGTCAAAGGTTTTTGAGCATCTAATAAAATGATTACAGTTTTCCTTATAATTTCTTCATATGGTGGATTGTATATTGACAGATTTTCATGTTGAAAAATAGCTACTTGGTTAGCATGGACCAACCTAGGCCCTCTGCATGTGGGTGAAAGTTGTGTAGCTTTCTCTTTTATGGGGCCTCTAGCAGTGGGATCACAGCTTGCCCCGGGTGCATGAGCAGGCTCTTTGGGACCTGTTATCTATGATGAGATTCTTCACTCAGACTTGATGCAAGCTTAGTCGTACCTCAGCTTGATATGTTTTGCTTTGTCAACTCCCATGGGAGGCTTTACCCTTTCTGAATGGAGAGAGAGGAGGAGTGAATGAAGGCATAGAGGGAGGTGGGGAGGTTATGGGGGGGGGGAAGAAGAGGAAACTGTGGTTGGTTTGTAAAACAAACAAATAAAGGAATGGATCTGGAAATCTTTGAATGAAATAGTAAGTAAGATAGTTAAGTATACTAATTACTTTGATTTAGTCACTTCACAATATATATGCATCAAACCATCGGATTTTACATTTCATAAATATATATGTTCATATATGTATGTTTATATAACAATACAGCAATTAAAATTCAATAATACAAATGAGTACTTAAGAAACAGAATACTAATAAGCATTATAATGTCACAATACTTAAACCTACATAATTACCAAGGAACCTAACCAGATCATAGTTGCTCATAAGCCTTTACAGAGAGCATCAAGGCCTGTGGACAATCCTAAAAGAATTTCCAAACTTGAGAGAAAAAAAAAGAGAACATATTACAGAGTATTTGTGAAAGGAGTCAGTCAAATTTAGATGATCTAGCAGGTTCGACCAAAGATGATGTTTTGGCTGTAATATACCTGCAATTCTATTTTATGAAGAAGAAATAATAAATCTCAAGGGGCCTAAGGACATTTGAGAACCATGGTTGGAAATATTTAGTTTTTTCCATTTTCTTGTACTGTAAACCATAGTTTGTAACATATGGATAAACACTTGCACATGTCTTCTGTTTCAGCCTCAAATCTTACTGTCGTTCAGTCAAAGCATATAACATTTTCAGCAACAGGCATTTACCATCTAACTTTGCATTCATCCAACGGCAATGACAATACCATTGAAGGCTTCTGAAAGGTGATTGGCTCCCCTAGCAACAACTAATAAGTAGTCCCCATTCCATCACTGGGACTTGCCAACAATGTTATGACTTCTGGGAGGTCTCATGTAGGGTAGCTTTACTTCAACTCTTTAAATGTTGTCTTTACTGTTTCCCCACATACCTATAAATCTTTTGGACACCTAAGAATTAACATTAGGCAATGTTTTTACACAGGATGTTTATAATCTCTTAATACCTACTGCCACCCATCCCAATAAATGCAGTTGTTCTTGGTCTGATAAGAAGACGAGAAGCAGGATGATCTGTACTCAGAATGATGTCATAACTCCTGTTAATTGTTATGTTAGGAGAGT